GATGCGCCTGCTTTCACTTCAAATGCTTTCTACAGATTTGGCAATGCTAACACCTGGGCCTTAACTAATCTTCCGTTTTGACAACTAGAAAGATTCTTCATGCTTGTTAGACCATTCAAAATTTTTATTGGCCTTTGTGATAGAATGTAATGGTGCTGCAGTTTGTGAGCAGTGTCGAATAAACTTTCTCAAATATTAGCATGCACCAATAAAGTTCCGAACTTCAATCACAGAACAATGTGTAGGACATTGAGAAATAACTTGTACTTTCTCTGGGTCCACTTTCAGTTCTTCTATGCCAATGATGAATCCGAGATGTTGCTTCTCAAATTCAGACTTCTTACCATTCAATTGTAGCTGATTTTTTTGAATAACCTTCAATACTTGAGCAATGTGACGACGATGGTCTTCCAATGTAACACTGAAGATCAATAAGGAAAGACTAGTGCGTTTCAACTGAAAGATGGATTGATGTATAAAGAACACAATTGTGCATTCCTGATGATGGTCATCTATGGTTATGGATTCATGAGGCTCATAAATCTAAAGTAGCCAGGACATTTTGGGGTAGATAAGAACTCGTTGAATCTTCGTGAATATGTCTTCTGGCCAAAGATGCATCTCGATGTTTCTCTATATACACGAGGTTGTGTTCTATGTAGCACATCGAAGCCTTCCATCTGAAAGTTAGATTTATATTTGTCATTGCCAGTACCTAGCCGACCTTGGGAGAGCATTTCAATGGATTTTCTAGGTAGATTGTCTAAGACTAAGTCTGGATATGACTGTTTGTGATTGTGGATTGTTTCAGCAAGGTGGTGATTCTTATTCCATGCAAGAAGATCATTACTGGAGAAGGAGCAGCTAAGTTGTTTTTCCAACATGCATGGAAACATTTTGGCTTGCCTACGTCGATATTTCAAACATAGATAGTCGATTCTTTGGCCATTTCTGGAGGCTCAATATAGGGAATGTGGATACCAGGTTCAAGCATATCACTGCATTAAAACCTCAAACTTATGGACAAACAGAGGTCGTTAATCAGACTACGGTACATTTGTTACGGGTTATAATTCTAAACATCCAAAAACTTGGGATGAAAGTCTCCCTTAGTTACAGTTTTCTTTCAATAGGATCATTATGGTTCTACACTCAAATATCCATTTGAGGTTTGTTTGGGTTTTCTACCGCAAAGTCTTTTTGACATGGTAGTCTTTGTAAGTGATAATGTACTTAGTGGATAAGAAGAAGAACTACGTTCGAGCACAAAAATTTCTCAAATGAGTTAAAAAGATTCATTGCTAGAGTGGAAGCATAACTACAACGATCTCAACAACGATGTAAAAGTCTCCATGACAAGCATCATGTGCCATGTAACTTCAAAAAAGGTGACCTATTATGGTTACATCTTGGTAAAGAGCCGTTACAAGGAGAAGGAAAGAAACTCAAGCCTATCCGCTATGGACCGTTCAAATCATGAAATAAATTGGTGATAATGCCTTCCAACTCAATCTACCACCATACATGCATATGTACTCGTTCATAAATGCCGAAAATTTGAAGCTCTTTGAACCATCTCTATTGGATGATGATCCACACTCATCTCCCTTCAATTGATAACTCAAGGATGGATTAGTGAGAAAATCTTTTGGAAGAGGACATTATCTTGGAGCAAAAGGTTCATGAAACAAAGCATGGAAAGTATGAAAATTTCAGCATTGGTGGGGCAAATTCCTAGCGAGTCAAAGTGGTATAGTCCAGACAAGGCAGAAACAGAGTTTCCTCATCTCATGATTTCGCTTGATCAGGAGCTCAAGTGTCCTAAGTGGGTGAGTCATGATCCAGGAGGAATGGAGGATCTACCAAAAGAATTAATTATATTATATTATATTAATAAATTATTTAAAACCATAAAAACCTAATGGTTTATAAAGAATTGTTATAAACCATAAAAAGTTAATGGTTTTAATGAGTTTGAGGTTTTAAGCCATGCATTCTTTATGGTTTAAAACTATTTACTATTGTAGATAAACTTATTGTGAGGTTAATTTCATCTTCTTCCTCTTAGTGTAGGTAATATCGTTCGTTCGAAGAAATTTTTTTTTACTATTTTAGTTTAGTTAATAATTTTAGCAATCAAATATTGTATAAATACTTAATTTATTCATTGAAATGAATCAAGCAATTCTAAAAAGCAATTCAAAGCTTCTTTATTAACTTCTTCATTTTCTCTGATTTAATAAAAGTCCACTTCCAAAAAGAAGTCGAGACTCCATATATTCCTACCGTTAGAAATTAATAAGTTCTATCACCAAGAAGTTTTGGATCACTCATTCTAGTGTTTTTTTTTTTTTTTGACTCCGTCCTTAATAAAAGTCCACTTCCAAAAAGAAGTCGAGACTCCATATTCCTACAGTTAATAAGCTTCTTTATTAGCTTCTTCATTTTCTCCCTGAGAGTTTATAACCGCGATGATCACAATAGTTTTTCTGGGTTGGACCTTCCTTGCATTCCTTTTTTTTTTTTTTTTTTCTTCCAATGACATTTACTGCCAGGTTTCTGTTTATCGTCTTTTATGTCAGCTCTTTTGTTTTTGGCCTCAACAGCGATGGCCTTAACAATAGCTTCTTCAAAAGTTTCTACAGAACAATTTCAATTCTTTTCGTATGTAGTCGGCAAGACCTCAAGTGTACTTCATGAACACATCATAGTCATTGACATCCATATCCAAAACCATAGCTTGGTTATGGAACTCAGTAGTATACTCTTGTACAATTTGCCCAAACCTTTGTCGGAAGTGTTGCCACTTGCACCATCTTTCTTCTTCATAGTCAATTGGATAAAATTGTTTTCTCAAGATCATCTTGAATTCCTTCCAAGTCAATTCAGTTATATCATACCGTTTTTGGTCCACCATGTAAGGGCATGACTTGTAAGTTTCAAGCTGGCAAATTTGATCTTCTGAGAGTTTGAGTAGATTTTCTGCATCAACATACCCTCTGTAAACAGGGATATTAACCTTAAAATCAATTTTAAGGTATCTACGAGAGTTTTATTCTTGCTCGATGATCTTCTTTGTTATCTTCTGTTTCGGGATTGTTGTCATCATCGTCTTCTATCTCTTCATCCATCCTCTTCTTGAGCTTCTGATGAGTCTATGTGAAGTGGATGCACTAGAGGGATTTTAAGACTTAAAGCCATCACAAGTTTAGCAACTGACTCTTTGGTCAAAGTTTGAACTTCTTGTTTGAATCTGGTGATTCATTCCTCTCCACTAGATGTTCTATCGGTATTCTTTCCTGTCATATTTCCTCCCTTAGTTCTTGATTTTCTATGAACCTTTAAAGAACTTGCAAGTTCTTCTCCAAAGTTCTGCGTCTGTCGTGAGTCAGGACCATACACCACTACCGTCACCCTTTTCGAATTTGATGCTATGATACCACTTGATCCAACTTGTTGGTGCTGGAACTTATTAATTCCTAACTTCAGGAATATGGAGTCTTGACTTCTCTTTGGAAGTGAACTTCTATTAAGTGAGAGGAAACTAATTAAGAAAGGAAATGAAGAAGTTAATAAAGAAGCTTTGAATTACTTACAGAATTGCTTGATTCATTTTAATTAATAACTTACTTATTTATACAATACCTGATTACTAAAATTAACTAAACTAAAATAGTAAATAGTTTTAAACCATAAAGAATGAATGGCTTAAAACCTCAAACTTGTTAAAACCATCAATTTTTTATGGTTTATAAGAACTATAAACCATAGGGTTTTTATGGTTTTAAGTTATTTAGTAATATAAATTATTAATTATTTTGGTAGATCCTCTTGCATCAAGAAGTCACCTTCAACAAACGTCAAGTTTCCTCACCATGGTTCTTTTCCAAGCACACAAAACCACAAACTATCACCTCTGATGTGAACAGTACGTACTTGAGCTGTAAAATCATATGTTGAGCAGTAAGTTATAACCACTACAAAAAGCTCTCCTCGACAAAAGGTGAGATGGACTACAACCACGAAGGCTCTTCTCGATAGAGCAAAGAAGCGATCCCCACTAGAGCTAATTAATGAGAAAATGAGAAAGAAGAGATCACAAATGATTGCTGCCGACCCCAACCTTTGGCTGGTGTTAGGATTTTTTTCCCTTGCAACTTTATATTTCAAGCAGGTAGATTATATAAGTTTTACTTTGGATTTAGCTAGATTTTGTAGTCATGTTTAACATGGAGGACTAGAAGGACTGGACTGACTAGCTAAATAACTAGATTTCATGTGCAATAAAAAGATAATATAATATTAAACTTGTATTCTATGTTGGAGGATTAAGATGGTGTATGTTTCTAGGAGGTCGATGCAGAAAACTTACTCTTACTAATCCCATCATTTTTTAAATTTAACAGGCTTAGCATGGATAAGTTTTAGCCATCAGCCTCGTAGAAATACTCCATCTTAATCCTCTAACTTATAAGACAATTTCAAATTCTTCTTTGGTGAACATAAAATCTAGCGTCTAGTCGAGTTCTGCATATCAAAGGGGCAGTATTCCTAGGACTATTCTGTTAACAGATCTAGGTTGTGTGCATGCAAGTTGTCTAGAGTAGTATGCTCCTCACTCTTTACCCAAATTTGAATCTTCATCCACGTAGTCTTAATTAAATTTATTAGAATATTGTTTGAAAAAAAATAAATAAACTAATAATTTTCAAAGTTGAAGAGAATACTAAACGTTCTCTCAAAGTCTTCCACAACTGCAGCAAGCTAAGACATGCTTCAGAGAGATGTAACAAGACTGAGTTTGGAATATTAGCCGGACTGCTAGTTATGCACTTTATTCCGGATTCTCTCGCTTTGCTTTACACATATATATTGTAACTGGATAAGAAGAAAACCCAAAAACACAAATTAATGTAAGAATTGAGAAGTTGTCCACTAAATACAAAAGATAGTGAGTTATCATATCACATAATTAACAAATGAGTTCTACAAACCTGCAGACGCTTCAAGTTTTCACAGTTGTGACATACTTAATAAGCATGCCGACAATATCCGATTGGACCTTTGAGGCTGACTCCTTCAAGTTCTTAATTTTCGTATCAGTTTCCTCTTCAAGCCTTTTCACATTGGACCCAGAACTCCCACTTGACTGCAGAAATTTAATAGCTAATCAGAGAAACTTATCATATCATTAGGATCTCAAATTCATTAAAAACCCCTCATGTGTGTGTTATCTCATTTCAAAAAGGATCATTTTTTTTTTTTTGGGGAACAATGGAGTGATCATGATATAATTGGGTAGTTGATGAAAGACCAGTTAGTACATCTGAAATTTTCTTTTGGTGCTCAGCCTCCATATTCGTGCGATAGAGTTGCACTTCCCTATCAGCTTCTTCTTTAGCTTGTCTCAAGCGTGCCATCTTCGCTGAAGAACGTAACATTATTTTGGAGGATCCATATCAAGATTTAAAAGGAAAAAAAGAACAAATTGACGTGAACACAAAGACAATGGTGGAGAAATTAACAAAAGCATGCATTTACAGTTTCTAGCGTTGTTCACAATGTGTTGAGCATCCTGTTCTGCTGTTAGCAGCATCTGGATGCCTCCTTGTCCTCTAACCGAATCCATGGCGACTATATATACGTTACCTGAGAAGGAAATAATTCCATAGGGATTTAGAGAATTAGTTGTAGCTTCTGACTAGCATGTAAGCAATCAATCATATCTATGAGAGATGAGCAAGAGAGTTAAATAAATGTAGGCAGACTAGAAATCCCGAATGAACTATCACTATCCGGAGCATAACAATGCACCAGCAAAATCTACAAGTGTGCAATATATATTGATTCTTCTTGAACAAACTAGCTATTGGATGTGTTACTTGTTTTACATAAACCGGAAGAGACATCAAGTTTAAATTTTCCTCCGTCAATTAATGAAAAAAATAATTAAAAAAAAAATCAAAAGAAAAATAATAAAGAAAATCAAAATCTACAAATCTTGTTCTTGTGCAACAAAGGTAGATCCGTATGGCTAAAAGATATTACCTCTAATTCATGAACAGATACATGCAATGAATCATATATATTATCCTAAAAGTAGTAGCTAATATCCAGAATAATTAATTAAATATTATATACATGTATGTATGGGAAAAGATGATTAAAAAATTATATGACAGTAAGAATACCTGAAATTCTGCCTTATTGAACAGAACAGAAAAGTTCAAAACCTGAACGAAAAAGATATATTGCCGAAGTCTGTTATCCTTATAAATTACGCCCTAAGGAGGAATGACAATTACTTCCAGATTTAATTAAGTTGGAGAGGAGAAACTCCTTGAATAACGGCGTTAGGTTTCAATTTTTGAATCCAGGTCAAAACCGTTTATATGTATACGTGTAAGTAGTATATTGAGTTAAAAACTACCAGCTGAGATAGGAACTAATTTTGTTGAGAAATTACTGGGTCCTCATACGATCATACCCATTAACCACAGATTTGAGTCTGTTTTTGCTCACTCCTTAACGCAAGATAACCGTTACCCCCCTCAAAATTGTACCACGTTGTCTATTTAACTAATGATAATTACCTATGCATTTAATTAAAAACAATTGATTCAGTTATCCTATTTTCTTCCTCTTCTTGGCTTGCGGCATAACGCCACCCTTCCTATCAATAGTTTACTGCAACAATACAGATAATCTCACTCGAGCAGAATAGTAGAAACACAAAGAAGAAAAAAACGACGAGCACTGGCTAGAATTGTTTGAGAAAACAAAGATAGCAATTTAGACAAACTAAAAAATTAGTAAGTAATAACAAACAAATAAAAAGAAAATTGTCAATAAGTTAAAAATAAAATAAAAGAAAGCGGAAGATAGATCTTTATCATTTACTGAGTAATCGTGCATGCAGAACTATGATGACTTCTTTACCAATTTTGTTGCCATCTCCTCCACCCAAGCTATGATCTTTCACACCCTGACCACACCCATAATCGCCATCCGCGTATTACCATGTGCTCTTTATGTACCGACTCAACATTTTTTTCCTAAATTACCCCAACTTATGAAAAAACCAAACTCAATATCTCAGGTTCTCTTTTGCACCTTAAAAATGGGTTCAAATAAAATTTGCATATACTTTTTTCCTGTCATTTCCATTTAAACATCTTCAAGTTAAAGTGTGAACAATCCCTACACATCTCTTATGCAATCCAAATTATTTTTGGTGAAAGTTGCAATTTGGTGATACTTGCATCCCTTCATTGAGGAATGCACATATTTTACCCCTTGTGAAATAGCGTACCTTAAATATATAATTTTCACAATCGGAATTATTTAATTTCTTAATTTTCAGTTGAAGATCATCCTTACAAAAATCATTTGAATTGAATACCGTTTAGTCATGCAAATGTATCAAATAAGTTAAGAGGTATTGTGAATATGTTCCTGTGGTACCACACTGCCAATTTGTTCCATACATACAAATACATAAATAATCTTTGATTTAAATGATTTTTGATAGGGATGATCCTCAAATAAAGATTAAGAAGTAGAACGGTTCTGATTGTGAAATTTATACGATGAAGTTATGTTATTTACAAGGAATGAGAGTATGTGCATTCCCTTACGGGTGGTACAAGTATTACCATTTGCAATTAATTGTATCTAGCTTGTTCTCTTCTTACTCGGATTGGTAGCAAGGGACTTGTGGTGCGAGTTCAATACAGGTATAAGTGTGCGTCAAGAAACATTTTCAAACGGGATTATCAACCATGTCATCCGTTCTTATGATACCATGCGACTTGTCCCGATATTTATAAATTCTCCATCTAAAACCATGTCGTTTGTTCAAAACAAGTATAATAGTACACCAGTGACTTATGTTTCCAACATCTAAAATAATTCTCCAACTAACACCATGCCGTCCATTCAAATGGATTTATTTATAAACCATACATGTCCTGCAAATGCACAAGTTAATTATCTTAAAATATCGTACTTCACCCACTAATACCTAATACTATGGTCCTTATGTTTTTGATTAAATTTATCAGTACGACTATCATTTAGTGGTATTTGTCTTAACTTGTAAAGGAGAAATCTTATGAAGGCGCGATCAATTTAATATTTGTGTTGAGTTCGTACCTACTTATGAATGGCTTAGCCCAAATCCCCCTAGTAGAATGTGGTTGTATTTGTATATATACAAGTGAATATTGTACTTCTCCTAAGCAAGCTCTCCAATATTGGGAAGATAATTTATTATCAAAAGTCCAACCAACATTGATCCTACCTCCTGTGCTTTCTGTATGCCTCTATATATCTATAACAGGGGACAGCCGCTATGCTACCTCATACCCTATAATTGCTTTTGTTAAAAGCTTACATGACACTAACCATTAAGGGACGAAGAGGAGCCGAATCTGGGTGTGCAAAGTAAGTGTTGGTGTCCTGAGGGATATTGGGATCACTCTCATTCCCAAAGGAAACAAATGATGACGATTCCACCAAGTTCACCATCGCACCTTCACTTTTGAAATGCTTGGATAGATTTTGATGCCTCTTACACCTGCTTGTCATCCCCAAATGAGACTGAGGCAACGAATTATATGCCGCCAAAGCCATTGCCTTCTGCGCATTGTTGCCAGATTCATCATCATCCTCGTAGTCATCGTCCTCATCCCCATCATCATCCAATCGCTCTGCCTTAATTTCACCCTCATCAACTTCTTCGCTGAATTGGAGGCCTTCTTCCATTTCAAGCTCTTCATTTTCCTTGCTCGTCACGTCGTCATTGAAATGATAATCGTCTAGATGAACAAGATTTATGACAAGACGACCATTCTCACGGAGGACTTCAAAATATTCCTGGTGCTTCACTTTCTCGCCTTTGAGGACCAGCCTTCCATTGTAGCAATGTCTGGTTAAACTCCAGGGCATACGACTTGTCAAATTCCGTGTCTGTGCTATCAGTGGTATTGGCGGTGGGTATTCCTTTTTCCTTCGATCACGTATTTGATCAGTACCAATCCGTCTCCGCTTAATATGAGTTGAAAACGTCGACGATCCTGCTGTATTCTCCACCCACAATTTATTCTGTTCCGGGCATAGCATGATTTGGACACCGCTATCCGTCCCAATCAGATCGTCCATTGCAGCGGACGACCATGATGTTGTGCTATCCAAGAACATAGAAGAAGGCTGCCACCGTGATGACGACAATGAAGACGATATTGATGTTGAAACCATGAAGCTGTGAATAATGTGAGGGTGATAACGGTCGAGATTGCGAGAGCCTGTTTTATCAGCCGATTCTGGGAAAATTAGGGTTTTGAGGCCCAGTTCCAGTTGGAGACATTGGTGAGTTGTAAATCCTTTTGGGCTTTGCATGGGAGATAATGGTAACCTAGGTGATGCCCACAACACAAAACCAAAGAGAGAGCAGATGGTGGATTTAGCAGTGGAAAAATAGCTTTCACTCGACGAATCCATGCTAATTCCACTCCACAGAGATAAGAAACCAGAGATTAGGGTTAGCTTAGGACTGTAGTATTTGTGGCTTTCTAAAAAATTCACTGGCGAACCCAGTAATTAACTTCCTGTCAGTAATTAGATGGATATATATCTGATATTCCTTATTAAAATAAAATTTAATTGTTATATGGAGAAGGGTTTATCCAATTGGAAAAAGACAATCCCTTATATCGTCTGTATAGAGTGTAGTGGTATGGTAGAATATTCTCCGGGCCTTAACGGGTAAACATCGTCGATTTAGTTTCATTCTCAGCACAATAGACGGAAGAACAGAATCATATCTTTGAGTAATTGTGAAGATTTACTTGCCAAGAAATAAATAAAAAATAAAAGCCTTTTCTTATGTGTGCAATTTTAGACCATAAATGAAATTGTATTTATTTTCCATACAATGAACTTTGGTAATTAAGCCAACTTATTGACCGTTCAGGAAAAAAAAGGGGAAATTTTTTCTCTAAAAGTCTAAAAATATGGCTCCAAGAGGATTAGAAAGAGAACAACTACTTTTCATGGAATTCATCAAGTTTTATTGAATTTTTCAAAACTTGAACAAATGGAATAAAATCAGCCAGCTGGGTTATGTAAATGCAATCGTAGTCAAGTATAAACAAATTATGGGCTCGTTCGTCAGTACTTTAAAATGATTGAAAACGCTTTTAGAGAAAATTTTTAAGTTCCAAAAACAGTTGAAGCTTCCTACAAAAAAATCACCAGTTATATACTTATTGTAAGCAGCACTTCAAGTAATTTTTTAGGATTCACTTGGGCTTGTTTGAAAGTACTTTTAAAATGATTAAAAGCACTTTTGGTAAAATTATTTTTAGAACCAATTCTTAGTAAAAATGTAATGTTATTTGATATAGAGATATATTACACATGTTTGCACATAAAAACATTTTTTGCGTGTGATGACATATAAATGCAATGCTCTATATGGTTGACAGAGAATCAACAACTAAGCATCATTGTTTTTCTGAGTTTTGGGGGTGATTAGTCATATTAATAGAAATGGATAAAGCAAAGAAAACGGGATCAGTCACGATAACAAAGCTAAACCACTAATCCAAACACAAATACACACACACACACACACACACACACATACATACATATATATATATATATATATATATTTAACAGAAAAAAAAAAAAAACCTGAACGATACGAGGGGGAAAAGATATATGCAAGAAGAGACGACAAGTAATGAAGATTAGGGCATATATTAATCTTACTCTGTGAATGGTCGCACATTCACTACTAAATTTACCAGCTAGCGCGATGAACACAAATTGGTCGCGCAAAACTTATTCTCGTCGCAAAAAGGTTAATGCGACGAAAATTTGGTCAGTGCAATATCCGTCGCGCAAAGGTCCTGAAGAAAGACTTTGTGCGACGAATGTACACAATTGGTCGCACAGAAGAAGATTGCGCGACGGTTTTATATGTCGTCGAACAAAATGTTCAGAGACAAAGGTCTTCATCGCACAAAATTCTAGGATACAAGTAGCTTTCATTAGGATACATACATGGGGACGACTAATCTTCGTCTTAAATAACTTTGTGCGATGAAATATTTTGGATGCAAAAAATTATGCACAACGAAGGTGTTCGTTGAGCAAAATATAAAACATAATTTTTTTAAATTTATTTTATTTTCTGGTTTTAATTTTGTAATAAAATAATTAAATTAAATTAAATTACAAAAAAAAATGTAATGAAGAGAAAAATAATTTATTTAGAATAAAAAGAAAACAAATGTATGTCCAAGTAAAAAGTTTAAAATGTAA